TTTCCGAAAATAGGGGGTACCTTCTTTTGGGAGGATCCTATTATATAGGCCCATAGGAGTTTCCGAAAATTGGGGTACCTTATTTTGGGGGTCCTTATAATAAGGATCCTATTATTTAGGGTACTATATTTGGGTCCCCTATTTTTCGGAAACCCCCATGTAGCAAGCTGCATGCCAGGAATGAAAGAGTGAGTTGCAATTACTAAAATGGTTTGAGGTGAAGAGAGGTGGAGTGATGATTGAATTGATTGATGTACTGAACTGATTGATTTATTCAATGATTCATAGAATGATCGATTGAATGAGTGAGTGAATGATTGACTGATTGATTGATGGAATTGATTGCATTAGGGTGGCTTTGATTTGATTGATTGGTTGATTCATTGATTGGTTGCTTGCTGCATTGGTTGAACGAATGAACGAATCAATGAATGGGCGAAGGAATGAACGAACCGACTGACTGCCTGACTCAATGAATGAATGAACGAGAGGATGAACTAACTACATAACTGACTGACTGAGTGTGTGGATGAATGAATGCATGGATGAATGAATGAGTGGGTTCAATTGATCAGAGAAGGCATTCATGCATGCATGTACGCACGCAGAACGACTTAAGCGTTACCTTTCCTAGCGCTTCTCCAGGTTTCAGTGGTTCGTAGAGCCATCCGCCGGATGCAGCTGTGATCGGGCAGCCTTTGTGCTTTCCTGTTGTCCAAAGGCAGAGCTCAAGAACATGAAGGTCTCTGCGTTGAGAGATCGCGCTGCCACCTACGGTTGTTCTGATGACATGCATCTTGGCCCTCCAGGTTAGCACTTCTCATGCGCATGCCTGCTTGATAGCCTTGACGGTTGCTTCTGAGCATGCTTTGTCTTTGTCTCGCATTCTCAACTGTTCTCCCAAAAGCCTAGCGGGCTTCGCGCGCCGAGCAGCGTCTGGCAAGGATGCGGGCCGCGCTGGACAGCCCAAACCCCAAGTCGGCGCTCACAGAGCTCATCCTGGCCCGGGCGGCCCAGAGCAAGGTTCTTTACTTACAGAGTGCTCACACGTTATGACACATCAGTGACGATCTGGGGTTCGAGATTTGGGGGCCGAGATCTCATTTACGTGGGTTTTACAGGGTTTGAGCACCTGAAAGGATTCTCGGCTCGCTTGAATCTACATGGATGCAGCTTCGGCAAACTTGGCGCTGGAGTCTTGAGTTCAGGCGTGTAGGATGGGGCTTCCGTGCGCTATTGCCGCATGCAGCGATGCAAGGCTGAAGGTGTTGGATAGACAGATTGTTGGCAACTCTGACGTACCTGTCCAAGCTGTGGATGAACTACCAATTTCTGCGCAACGTGCTGAACACACGATCACTCCGTCATGTTTGCAGCCTGACGTTTCCATCGGGGCACGGGCAATCTCCTTCAGCTTTGCCAGAAAATGCTTTTGGGCAGAAGTCAGGTCGACTCTAGCATTGCCTTTCTCGGAGCTTTCATAGGCAGAGCTCGTCACCCTCAGGAAAAGATCATCCTAAAGTCTTGAAGTCTGAGTGCCATGGCCCAGGATGTGGCCAAGGATGCTTGCGATGCTCTCATGGAGATGAGCCTGCCTGAGCTGAAGCAGCATGCTCAAGAGATGGGCATCACAGAGGCTTGGTCGGGCAAACAGGGCCACAGTAGCACGAACAGCTACTACTACAAAGACCTGCTGATGCTGCTGCCACCACGGCGCCCACCACCACTACCGTCCGCCATCACCCCGACCTCGCACCCCGCCCCCAGCGCTGGCACCAGCGACAGCGACGAGGACAGCTGCGACTGCGGCTGCCATTGCCACCGCCACCGCGACTGCCAAGTAACTGGAACTGCTACTGCCACAACGACAGCAAAACAGTAGAATATCAAGAATTGCAAAAAAAACATGACAGTAGAATATTAAATTCAGTCAAGTACTACTAGGTACTACTACGCTGTTCAATTGTGGTTTGTGTGGCCGACACTCAAGACTCCTGGAGCCCTGCAAGCAGGACAGGGGTTCGACACGTAGGTCACGCGCGTCCTGAAGAACAGCCCAAATCTGGTTTCTGAGGGCTGCATCTATGGAGAGTGAAGCTAGATTTGACACCGTGGCCTAGAATCTAGTGTTTAGGTCGGTGCAGGTTCCAGGTGCCTTCAGCTTGGTTTTCACATTATTACCCTAAACCCTAAATACTCCACCTTAAAAAAAACCCTAAACCCTAATCCCTAAACCCTAAACCCTAATCAGTTGTCAAGTTTCCTTGGAGGCCCAGCTCGCCAGCGCCGAGAAGAGCAAGAATCCGAAGGCGCTGCTCTGCCGGGTTCTAGGGGGTTGAATGCAAGGCCCTAGAGAATTACCTCTACGATTTTGGGGCCCTAAAGAATTACCTCTACGATTTTGGGGTTACTTATTGCAATTATAGTCGTATAATGGGCCCCAAAACCCTATTCTAAGGCCTCTATATTGGTTGCGGCTATGGTTCCAGACTCTGCAGGGACTGGTTGTAGTTCGTGACATGTGTTGAGAGCCTGGAATGGGCTAGTCGCCAATGGCATCGTTGGCCAGGTGGCTCTCATCATGGCAATCTTCGGGAGCAATCGCGATCAAGAAGTACAGTGTCTCTGCAGCACCAAAATTTGGTAGAAACCTCTCTGTGACTATTGCACTGTTGCTTTTGCGTTTTGTCGCAGCGGTGGAGGCTGGCAGAAACGGCCCCGGGAGAGGCCGTGAAGAGCAAGCCAAAGCAGCCCAGAACTCTCCAGAGGTTTGTTGAGTGACATTGGCAGGTCTCCTTCGACGTTGGCACCAGCATGCAGTCGGTGGAGGCCACGCTTCCATGAGCTTCTGAGCCTCATAGACGTACGTGCCCTTAAGTGTTTCGGAGATGCCAAGCCTGCGCCAGCGAGCACTGATCATTGGACCACACTTGCAGGCGCATGCATTGGAATTGCGGCGCAAGGTGCGCCCGGGGTGACTGGTGTGGCGATGTGAAAATCCCCCTGTCTTCTGCCCTGCATCATAGTATACGTTGCCGTGTTGACCTCCGTAGATCCACAAGTTTGATTGCGGTGCTTCGTATAGGATCATAGAGGCACTAGCATGTATAGCGCCTGAATGTGATCTACCTTACTGCAGCCGCCTTGAGATCAAGCCCAAAAATACCGAGCGTTTTCCGCGTTGTAACTCCGTAAGCCGACATTCGTTGCAAAAGCCAGCATCTCAACTTGGGTTGAAAACACATCTATGTTTGTTGTTTTGCCCATTCATAGAATGGTCTTGTGTCCCAAGCGGTCATGTATACTAAATGATCTATAGTGCACCACACGTACGTATGAATGTTTTTGCAGATACACATGCAGGTATGTTCGTACGAACGTACCTATGTGTGTATGTATGTATCAATGTGTGTATGTATGTAGGTAGGTAGGTATGTATGTAGGTATGTATGTATGTATGCATGTATGTATGTACTGCATTGGGATACGATGCGATGCAATGTGATGCAATGCAATTATGCATTTATGCATGTGGCAGGTGAGCTTTACGTACATGTATACAACCTGTATGTAATCATGCACATAAAACATGCTATGTATGAGTGTAGTTACAATGTACACAGTATGTATACACCAATGTCACTATGTATATCGTGTGTATATGTATACTGTATACATATACACAGATGCATATGTGTGTGTATGTGTTTTTATAGCTCGTATCTCTTTGTGTGCATCCCCAGGATGTGCCAAGTGCAAATGTTATCGGGCACCCAAGCTATGCCAGGATTTGAGCCAAGAGCCCGGTCCGCATCAGCTCGGCCAGCACCCGAGAGCTTCAGCTTTGCCAGGGGGAGGTTTCGAATGTAGAGCTTTGGAGTTTGGGCATTGAGGGTTTGCTCTCTTTTTCTCCCTTGAAGGTGCAGTGAGCGCTTTGGGGTGAAATGTCAGTGGTTTCGCAAAGCTCGAGGTTTCTTCACGGAGCTCGGGTTACGATAGCAGGAGAGTTGTGGACATGTCCCCATTCAACCTGGCAACTTAGCAGTGTGCGATCCCTCTACCGCTTTCACTGCAGTTCGTAGTGGTAGTAGTGGTGATTGTAGAGTACGCAGTTGTGGCGTGGCATTAGCAGAGGCGGTAGCAGCAGCAGCAGCAGCGGTGCCGCGATAGCGGTAGCAGTAGGAGTAACTGTGACATGACTGCAGCAGGCCCTGGTGCATTCGGGCTCGTCTGGTGGCCGCTGCGTTGCATGCAGAGAGGGTGATATAATAGACACCTGGTGTTTTGCAGGCATAAACATAGCTTCATATATTTCTGTTGGTAGTGTTGCTATTGTTGTTGAAATTGTTTGTCTTGCTGTTGCGGTTGCGGTTGCGGTTGCGGTTGCGGTTGCGGTTGTGGTGGTGGTGGTGGTGGTGGTGGGGGTGGGGGTGGGGGTGGTGGTGGTTGTTGCCGTTGTTGTCTTCACTTTTGTTACGGAGGCTCGGTGCAGCACGATAGCCGCGATGGCCTTCGTATCGGGACGGACTTTCAGATGTCCTCTGCACGTCAAAGCTGGAATTGCCGCTTTCCAGTCCGGGAGCAAGTCAGCTGTTCTTCCCTTAGGTATTTGAACGCTGAAGAAGAGGCGGGTCTGTTGAAGAAGCAGTGTTCGCAAGTGCTTGAGAGCAGAAGCAATGCAGAGAGTCTGCCACTTTCCGTGCCAGATAGTGTGAGTCCAGTTGGGGGTTTCCCAAAATAGGGAGCCCAAAATAGTACCCGTACCCTAAATAGTACCCCCTATTTTCGGAAACTCCCAGTTGCGCTGCTTCGGCACCTGCATCCGCCACTGATCCTAGCCAGGAGCGACAGGAAGATGTTCTCCAATCGCCGGCATCGCCAGAAGCCGCAAAGGCCGACACCCTCACCCTCACCCCGACCTGCAGGTGAGTTTGCAGTGTCGAGACGTGTCAGAGCCTTCTGGAAGGCCTTGCCGCCCATACCCAGCTCTCAGGGGCGCCTGCCAGAGGCGAGGACTGCTGGCACTGAGCCGTCTGCACTCGAACAGGGCATACAGGCATACCGCCCCTTTTCGTCCTTCCTGCAGGTGAAGTTCGAAGACGCAGCGCCGGAGACTCAAGTCGCGATCCTCAAGTCGCGATCTCCGGCAGGTTCGGGCAGCACTGCTCAGCCTTTCTGATACTGCGACGACCAGACCGTCGTCCTCGTCAGTGTCGGCACGTCTACTGCTTGCACATGTGTGTGTTTTTTTTCCGGTGAGGTCTTCGCCTTTGCACCTGCTGCCGTGGGCGGCGCTCCACGCCCCACTGAAGCCGGGCCACAGGACTATGCTGACTCGCTTTGCTCATAAGCTCACTTAAAACTAGGCCTAGGCTTTGATGCCTCGCGTTTTGTCAGGACCAAGCTTGCAGCGCCTCGGCAGCTCGAAAACCCAGCGGTCCCCGGCTCTGCCTTTGGCCTCCGAGGCTCAGGCCGTGTTGGCCCAAGCTGGCACGCAGGACGAGGTGCCCACCCGTGTTTCAAAAGAACAAAGCCTCCTTCTCGTTTTTGCGAATTTCAGAGGAGCCAGATGCCGTTGGGGAAGTCTCCCTGATCCAGGCGCGACAGCCCTGCCACCGCTCAGAGGCTAAAACATGCCGACGTAGAAGACTTTGAAAACACGGTTTCACAATGCTGTGGACACCCAAGACTTCCGTCCAGTCAGTCAAGTTGAGTCTGAGTCTAGGATGAGCACTTGCTATCTTGGAGCCCAGCTTCAGGCTCTGCATTTGGTCCACTGGTGTTGGGCGTCCGCGAGCCCTGTTTCGCAAGGATGCTACAGCAGAGTACCCGCCTCGAAATCTGCTAGCCAGGCACCCACATTCTGAAATGGCAGCTTCATCCTTGGTGTCAGCAGCTTAATGGTGCCGCGCTGGTACGAGATCTGCGCCGACAAGATCTAGACGGCTCAACCTGTCGTTGCTGGAAACGTGAGGCCTATGCTTCTCCTTGGAAACGAGGGCAAAGTGGAGCTTGACTGGGTGCGCTACTGAAAAGCAAACCTTGCGAGGCTCCATGTCAAACCGAAGGGTTCGCTTCGCCGCGCTGGTCAGGCATTGATGCTGCTGGCCTTGCACATGTGGCGGCGGGCCTCTGCCGCGGCAGATCGAAAGGAGTTTCTGGTAGACAATGAGCTGCTACAGGCAGGAAATCCATGATGAGGGGCAACAGTTTCCCACGGCCTGCATGTGAGATTAAGCTCTGCTCAGCACTTTTGTTGCAAAAGTAAGCCAGGCTCAAGGCTCGAGAAGCTCGGTCTCGCACCCTTGTAATGAATCGTTTTTTTCTATAGTATACTGACCACGGACTGTTGTTCCAGGACCCTTGCTTGCTCCAAGCTTTCATGCATAGGTCTTTGAGCACTAATCCTGGGCAGCTTTCCTGACAGGCACCAACGTCAGGCCCGAGAAAGGGTTCGCTCAAAGATTCCGTGACTATGCAGCAAACGGAGAGTCGTTCTGTGCCTCAGATACCGTCATCCCAGCCAGCATGGCAGGTTTGAGCTACTTCTTCTCGAAGAGCTTGCACGATGCACGAGACTTATCCCTTGTGAGCTGTCGCAAGACCACCAAATCTGAGCACACCAGGTCGATGCCGGAAAGACTGCGATGTGGGGTCAGGCCTGGAGTGTCATGTACGGGGCAGATGCGATTGCCGATGGTAATCCGAGAGTCTCTTTAGCTCCAATAAGCAAATCCGACTCACCACACAGACGCATTAGCTTTTCGTATATGGGGGAGGATGTGGGCCCCCTCCTCCTCCACGTCTGCCGCCTCCTGGTCAGCAGCATCCTCTGCCTCATCATCATCTCGTGGTCGTCGGCATCATCATCATCGCCATGATCGTCATCATCGTCATCATCATCATCAGCATCATCATCATCATCATCAGCATCATCATGCCATTCCTGCGCTGCGTTTCCTGCACTCGATGGCCAACGCCATTCCGGCACAAGGTGGTGGTTGGCAAGAGACATGGCGAGTGGGTCAAAGTTGGCCAGCCAGAGCCCCTGCTTTGCTGGACCGTTCGAATGCTCAGTAGATGCCTATATTTTGGGAGCTACAGACATCATTCAGGACAGCAGGGCCTCACAAAGGAGGGATGATGCAAGAGTAATTACGGGGATGGCAACAAGGAAACAGCAACAGGCAGTATAAGAGTGTCCACAAACTTATCCCTGTCAAGATCGTCATGAATTTCTGCAGTTTATTTGCCGTTTTCGCATACTTTGACTTGTATTCTGCTGTGCCAGTGTCGAACAAGCCATGTCCCCTTCCGAAAGCCGTGCATCTGAGTTGCTGCTACCTCCCGACCTCGGTGAATGGAGTTCAGGCCACTCTTGGGAAATCCTGCGGCATGCCTCGCAAAATCTCCAAAGTCTGACCCCCTTAGCTTAATCCTTAGGCCCCTCCCGAAAACTTGTGATGTTGCTACTGGCACGTAAACATGCCAGCGTGCTTGCACCAGCCTGGCTGCTACGCTGCACGTGAAGGGCATTTGAGATGAGATGAAGGTTTAGGGCTTGAGCGGTTTACGGTTTCAGGGTTTGGGGCATCAGGGTTATCGAGCTGTCCCGCGCGGCTCAGAAAGAACCCCCCGAGGCTCGTGCACAGCGCAGCGAGCAAGCCTTGTTTGTTTAGGGTTTAGGGGTTTAGGGTTTAGGGTTTTTGTCAGGTGCTCCGTGAGGACTTCGACCCCTCCGAAGTCGCTGGTGAGCGGGCCCGATGGAGGCAGCATAACGTACCTATAGTCTCCATTCTAGCTCTGTTTTGGGGATACCGTATAAAATCCATATAGTATATTTGGTTAAAGCAAAAAAAGGAACTACAATGGAGACTATAGGTAGGACCCTGATTAAGAAACCCTGGGCCTTTATTAGGGGTTCTTAATATGAATCTTGGGGTTACAGGGCCAGGGTTTCTTAATCAGGGTCCTACATTAGGCGGCTCTGCCATGCTGCAAAGAAGGAGGACACATCAGCGCAGCATAGTGCAACCGTCGATCCTCGGCCCAAACGAAGCCGTCAACATTTCGAGGGAACCGAGGAGTCAGCTCGTATGACATTTGCATATTCCACGTAAGTATGCAATGCACTCGTGACTTTAACGGGCTGCGTTTTGGAACGGGCGGTGGAGAATACCAAGAG